CACAACTGAATAGAAAGGAGGTTTGTCCATCAAAGCTAGAACTCGCTTTTCAACCATGGTACATTCTACATCATCATCTTGAATCACCACGTCTTTTTTCAATATTTTGACAGCATACAGTTCTTCTGTTCCCTTTCGTTCTGCGAGCATCACCTGAGCAAATATAAAGAGGTGGTGAATATTTTGCTGACTACAGACCACCAGTAATTTCTATTCAGTTGTGGATGGAAAAGTTTTTCTAGTAATTCAGTTCCCTACATACATTCATTAACCTGCAGTTTAAGAAATCTGTTTTGTTTTTTCAATGTGTTGTTTTTGTTATTAGTTGTGAAGTCGTGTCCGACCTATCACGACCCAATGGACAACGTTCCTCCAGGCCTTCCTGTCCTCTACCATCCTCTGGAGTCCATTTAAGCTCATGCCTACTGCTTCAGTGACTCCATCCAGCCACCCCATTCTCTGTTGTCCCCTTCTTCTCTTGCCCTCAGTCGTTCCCAGCATTAGGTTCTCTCCAGTGAGTCCTTTCTTTGAACCAGAGTTCAAAGTCCTCAATTCTTTGGTGCTCCGCCTTTCTTATGGTCCAACTTTCACAGCCATACATTGCAACTGTAGAGAGCTGTATTCAGTATAGCTCTCCCATTTTGTACATAAAAACTACTATTCCAGACTAACTACTATTCCAGAAATTCATAAAAGGGTGAATAATGGCCTAAAGTTGATCTCTTTCTGCATGTGGATCCTAATCACCAACCTAGTTTTTAGATACATTTTTGGAAGATGAAATAGCAGAAGAAATTCTTAGTATGTTATTGGAGACAAAAGACAACACTGATGGAACACTGGTCTAAAAGCCTCTGATAAGGATTACACAGTGACAATAAAAGCAGCAAAACACAACTATTTCTCCACTCTTATTGTGTTGGTGGATTGCTGTCAGTGGTTCTCCTAGGAAAGCATTGATTAGAATACCTTTGAAGGATTATTATGAGGACTATTTGAGGCATCTGCAGAAAAAGTTTATTGGATTCATTCTGGGTTGGTTTATAGCTGTTCAGATTCAGCTAAGTGAGATATGGATCTATCAAGGTTATTTGGAAAGGATCTGTGCCTGTTAGCCCTGAGAAAATTAAGGGCAGCACACCTGCATGTTAGAATCCTAACTCGTCAAAGCCTCCTAGGAAATGATCTGCACGTGGGTCCAACTAGTAGTGAGAGAGAGGTAGTTCTGCCTTCAGTTAAGGAGTCATTGCTAGACCATACAGTGATGGGTATTTTTTAATCTATCTCCAACTTTCTCTTTCTGGAGAAGGTGGTTGAGAAGGTGGTCACCCTGAAGCTTCAGAGAACTCTGGAGAAAGTGGATTGTATGGACCACTTCAATCTAGTAGAACAGGTTGTAGCACTAAGGGGGCATTGATTGCACTTTTGGATGACCTGCAACTGGTTCAGAATGATGTGTGTGTATCCTTCCTTGATCTCTCAGTAATACCATTGATCATGGTATACTTTTAGACAAGCTCAAGGGGCTGGGGAGGGATGACATGATGTTACAATGGTTCTGCTCTTTCTTCCCAGGGTCAATTTAATATAGTGTTGATGGGAAAGGGAGCCCTGGCCCTAAGTCTCTACTGTGAGGGGATGTATCTCAGGGATTAGTTCTGCTCCAGGTCCTGTACATGAGGCTGCTGGATGAGATCACTTATCAATATGGCAATAGGTATAATCAATGTGTTGATCCTACTTAAAGATCTCAATGCTTGGCTGTTTAAGGTCTGGGTCCCATATCTTAAATAGTGTCTTCTGGTTGGACCAAGGAGATGTGTCTTTTCTGACACTGCATCTGCCCTCCAAAAGAGCACTTTCCCTGAGATTTGAATAGCCTCAACCGTATCTGTCTTTTAACACCCAGCTTTCTCCCCTCAGGTCAGGATCAATGGTTGTTATTGTTTAGTTTTTATCTTCCTGCCCTGAAGTACACATAATTGGGTGACTATATAAATTGATTAAATAAAAGGATGAATAAAAGAGTCAATCATCTCTCTTGTTTGTTTCTTGAAATAAAAATTACATATTATTAAATGGATTATAATTAAGACGCACAAAATAGCTCCTTTTGTGGAAAACAAGTTTCACAACTCATTTCTTTGCACCTCCATCAAAGCACAAAATATGACAACTCATTAACAGCTAGAATAGATTCTGCTAATTTACATATTCTAATTTAACAATTAAAACGTGAGGTTGCTTAAAGATACGACAAAAATATTCTTGGAAGGCTATTCGCCAGCTGCTTATACGGTAGATTCTTGAGCAAATACTGTACATACAATATATTCTCCAAATCAAATAATGTTTTCAAAGCAGTATTTACCTTACTCTAACTGTACAGAAGCATGATACTGAATAGCAAGTTTTATTATGCTTACCCTAAATCTTTATTATGTTTACACCAAATTTTATATATGTCTCCTCAGAATTAAATCCCACTGAATTTAGTGAAACTAATTCCTCATGTAAGCAAATGTAGGATTGTAGGCACGTAGGCAAATATTGGATTGCAGCTTTGTTAACAGAACAGCTAAAGGGATTATTAACAAATCAGCTGTGTCTCTAACATTTCTCCTTTTCAGATTTAAAATAAAAGCATAGAATCATTGGGTTGGAAGGTACTTCAGAGGTCTTCTAATGTAATTTTAGACCATTCAAGACAATAGCTGTCCAATCTATTTCTGAAAACCTTCAGTCCAGATTCACCCATGACTTCAGGAAGCAAGCAGTTCCACTGCTTAATAACTCTTACTATGAGGATGTCCCTCCTCTTTGATGGCAATACAGGAAGACCGTGGTTATTTTGCGGAGTTAGTGACATTTTCATTTCTTCTTCACATTAAGAAAAACCTAGAAGTTTAGACCTCATTCTGAGCTGGTCATCCCAAAGCCGTTTTTTTCAAAAAGGCAACTGGTTTCTTGTTTTTTTTTTCTTTGAAAATGTTTTGCTTCTCATCTAAAGAGCTTCTTGGATGAGGAACTGAAGAAGCTT